CTTCCCATAATTCAGCCTAAACATATTAAGAGGCCTCAGTGTTTTGTCTAAAAGCAGACCAAAGGCTGCAGCACGAACCATGAATTTCCGCCCGGGAAGGCTGCGCCAACTCTGCCATCGGGCCGGCGGGACGTTTGCCAACCGGGCACTGACAGTGTCCTTTTCGCTACGGAAGGAGTTCACGCTAAGAACGCAGAGCCCATCTTGAGGCCTTGTCGACCAAACTGAACTTTTAATATACTGTCAGTATTTACAAAGCTATTTTCTAAATGTATTTACAAGTTTAAAAGAAATAATACGGAAGATAACTGATTAGGAAAACTAAGATAACTGTTTAAAACCACAAACATTAGCAAAGGTATAAAATCATTTATTTTCACAGTTTGTCATAATAGGTTAAACATCTAGAGGAAAGGACACTGTCACTGTTTTCACATTTGTCTATAATTAAAAAGGTAGATTAAGAAGAGACTCAATTATGAACCAGCCTATATAATTTAATGATTTATTTTGCTGTCAAATATTTCTTCACATATTTTATTGACTTCTGCATTTATTGTAAATGAAATGTGTAACAGCTCTGAGCTAACTTACATCTGTGCAGACACGAGACACTGTACAGTACTTCCGTAATTTGCTTAAAATAACACAGCATACTCTGTTTCGGCGGACTTGTGAAATGAACTTCAATCGGATAATGCTTCATGTTTCATGGCAACGTTAATCCTGGCATTCTGTTATGTGACAAGGCACAATTTCATTGCTGCTGCCAGGTTTGAAGTTCGTTTTCTGCCAGAGCCACACACTTTGTAAGTGTAAACGTGACGCTCGCTGACGTCTGATGCTCCCCACACGCGCACCCTCGCAGCACTGCAGAACCCCGCAGGGCCGGGTTATGGCTTGATCAATATTAACACTGCGAGCAGCGGGGAGGGTAAACGGCAGGTCCGCACGGCGAGGAGCAAGCAGAACCTGCGAACTGCTGAATGGTGACTTTGTAGAAAAAGTGATCCTTTCCTGCCCCTTAACAGTCCCGTTAAAACGTTTAGAACCTGAACATGTACAATCAAGGTGATGTTGGTTTTTTGTTTGTTTTTGTCAGAGACAATTTTGGATAAGTCACTCTTTGGTAAACTCAAAACCATTTAAATACATTTACAAATACAAAGAACTAGATTTAAATAATGGTAAGACTGTGACAGAGAAATTCAAGAAATATAAAATTAGTACCCATATCCTGCTATCCTCAACTCATACTTCCATGGAAAAAGTCACACCAAAGGCACCACAGCACATCCAGGATAAAGGGTTAAGAATAACTGTACATTTCTTGGATTTTGCATGTCTCAAACAATTTATCAAACCACAAATTTTTTGCATTTAATTACTTAAAATAAACATTTAGGAAAAAAACAGTATCAGAAACACCAACATGTTTTTAAGCGGGTAAACATACAGACTACCTACCCTAGACACAGACAGATACTTTCCCTTACTGGAAACAAAAGTTCTGTGTTTGCTTCAAGGAGAGAAACATCTCCCCACCATCTGCCTCTTTATTTAGGCAGTTTTAGGAAAAAGAGGCAAATTCTGTACTCAATTTAACTGGAACTGCTCCAATGGAGCAGGTGGGCTTTATATTGTAAATCTGTATTTAGTAAAATTAATTCTTATTGCAGACTGTCACAATACTAAGAACTAGTATATTTAATAAAGCTACTGCACAAACATGCCCCAACTTCACCGGAGCCAAAAAAGCTTTACAAGATAGCAAACCTACCTTTTGCTTTCCCGTAATTTAGGAATGAACTTTTATTTATTTTCTAAATTTCAGGAGTTAAAGAGCATGTTCGCAGATGTATTTTCAATATTTGCTAAACAAACATAAGGCCCAATTATATAAAACCTGTACTTTAAAGAGGCATGTGATTAATTTAATTCTGTTCATGGAGTAGAATTTTACACAGTAGTGTTTGCCAGTTCGTGCTTTTGAGGTCTCTTAAGCTATTGTGGTTTGGGTTTTTTTGTTTGTTTGTTGTTGGTTTTTTTTTGTGGTTGGTTTGTTTGCGGTGGGTTTTGTTTCATTGTTTTTTGTCTGTTTGTTTTGTTTTGTTTAACTCTTACCATTATGTTTCACATTTTATATATTATACTGACCTAAATGAAGTTAGCACCATATTAAAAAAAAAAAACATTTGGTGAAACAAAAAGATTTAGAGTATTTTTGAAGTTGTTGGTAGTTCCTTTATGCAGAAAACAACCACTGAAAATAGCAGGGAAGCCACAGCAACTCTGTAATACTCACACATGAAATAACAGACATATTGCTCAAAATTCCCATAGAGTATTTGTGTTGTTTTTTTTTTAATACAAAAAAAAGTACAAATTCCAAGTGCTGACATATCACTTGGAGTTTTAAGTAGGAAGTCAATGTGCACCTGAAAACAGTTCTCTGTGAAGAGACCTATTAAAACACTGCTTGGAAATACTGTAGTTTAAACTACAACATCCCTCTCAGGTTTTCATCAACCGTGAAGAGTGATGAAGTTGACTTTCATTACCTGGTATGGTTCTACAGTACGAAGTGAAGGTAGATTCTGAGGCCAGTAAAAACACATTTAAAACCACAATGCTACTTTTAGGTTTGCTAATTATTATATATATATATATATTATATATATAGATATATCTACTTCTATATATATAAAAATGTCAGCACCACAGGTTGTCCAGCTTGCATTCTAGACAACTATCAAAACCCCTCAACAATTTAACCATAATTTAATAGATTTATGGCATTTGGTTTACATGTTATAAAGCAAAGCTCTTAAAACAAGATAACTCACTTTGCTCACTTTTGCACACAAAGTAATAGTTTAATAAAATTAAAACCAAACAACATTCTTTCAAAACCAAAACCATCCTCCCAAAGTCTGAAGTCCTAAACCCTAAGCGGAGAGGAGACCTACCAGTCGAAAGAGTGGTACATGGCAAAACCTTGACATACTCTTACATTCACCACAACCAGAATGGGAAAAGTGAAAGCATTTTATATATATAAAGCAAATTTATATATATAAACTGACTAACTACCAAAAACAGTTAGTAAAAGCAAACAGATTTCATCGTGACACACAGAAGGAATCAAAGCTATACTATTCTCTCTCCTCACTGCTGTGTAACTCATTACCAGCAACAGGACTTAAGAAATAAAATAAGGGAGATTACAGCTTCTTGGTGTATCCAGCAGAGCTGCCAATCTCATTCTAGTATCTTTCTCCACTTGAATTTGTGTCTTGCCAGATCAACCAGTAGGGGCACTTTAGCAGACTCTTCCTATCCTTTCCCCAGTACGCTGTCTTTTATATTTTCAGCATCTTCAAAAGTTAAAAAAAAAAAAACAAAACAAAAACACAAACAAAACAAACAACCCAGCCTCCTTCAAAAACAAAGAATACTTATGTAGTCTTCTCCAGAAACCATTTCAAACTGATTTCCAGAAAGTCAGGAAAATTAAAAGGCTGTTATACTTGTACTGAAGATTACTAAAAGAATAAAATATTTTAAAAATACATTAGTAATGTGCTTGTTTGTGTTGCACTTGAGTGTAATATTTTAATCAGATGTGTTAGACATTGCATGAATTTCCATACTAGAATCCATAGCTTCAGAAGCTGAAGCATCATTATCTACTTTCTGTTCCATAAATGCTTCTGTTCTGTCTGGAGACTCTACCCTGTTTCTTACTTCTGTTAGCCCAGGGTGATTTTTTCGCAAATGCTGGTTTAGTGTACCCTGGAAAGGAAAACATTTTCCACAGATCTCACAGCGAAAGGGCTTGTCATCTGTGTGACCACGAATATGATACTCAAGTTGGTCCTTGCGGGTATATTTCTTCCCACAAAACTTGCACACAAAAGGAGTTATTCCCATGTGCAATCGCATGTGTCGATCAAGGCTCCCTTTCTGGTTGAAAGACTTCCCACAGTAAATACAAATTAGCCTCTCGTTGTATGGATACCAATGACCTCTTGGATTTCTTTCCCGTGGACTATTTTCATATCCTGGGTTACTCACCATGGATTCACTGTCGGCCCCTTGCACCAAGCCCTGAACATCACTATGCAAGTGACCAGTGGATACCCGTTTTTGGCGTGCACGACCACCTCTGAAACAGCTCAGCATTGACCTTGAGGGACTCGTATTGCTCAGGCTTCCGAAGGCTTCAGACATACCTGTTGCCTGCGATGAGGCATGGGTAAACGAATAAACATGTTGTAAGACAGACCCATAGGAGCCAACGTTTACAGCCATCACTTGCTCTCCATCCACCATTTCAGTATGATATCCATCATCACCAAGGGAAGAGCTATCCGAGCAGCTGGGCCTGTCAGACTTTTCCATTTTAACTTTCACCTCTGCAATCTGACTTTCCCTTACTATCAGGTCTCCTTGCTCATGATCACCTTCAATCTGAATCTCGTATTCAGAGATACTCCCACTGCTTCCTCGATCTGAATGCCCTTCTTCTTGCAGACGACTACGTAGAGTTTTGCCTGGAGCAGTTTCCATCCTGAGATCGCTGCCTGCTGCCGACTGTCGCACCTGAGAGCAATAGGGGGGAGATATCTCAATAGGATTGGCAAAGTAGCTGCTGTCTTTAACTCCGTTGCGATTTTCTGAATTCTCTTCAGCACCAACAGTGACAGAGTCAACATCGCCAACGCTGATCTTTGAATGAATACTCTCCAGTATCTGTGTGCACTTATCGATGACGCACTGCATCTGTAGAAAGCTAGCGGCAGTTAGGAAACTAACAACATCCTTCAGCTGCAAGGACATCCTTCCAGTGTAACAAAAAGAAAGCAACTGTTCAAAAACATTGGGATTTTTAATAACGGATATTGATAAGCCACTCATGGTGCTTAATGCTGAATGGTCGCGGAAATACGGCGAACTGGCAGCTAAGACAGCTTTATGGGCTCGAAACGGCTGACCCTGAATGTGCACGATTATGTCGCACAGCTTTCCTTGCAAGCGGAGTTCGTTCAACTGGCTCAGAACAGTGTTGCTGTACTCGGGCACATCAAACTGAATGAAACTGCTGCTGTCCATTTCTACTGATGTAAAGAGTAATCTGAAAGAAAAATGGTAAGATTTACAACTGAGAATGAATACTGAGTTTTCAATTTCAAAAATAAATGCTTGGACATGTTGAAGTTAAATCATCACATTGATCTGTTTAAGGTGTGTTACAACAAAACAGTTGGTATAAATACTTGATATAATACAAAAAGTAGAGTCTTAATCTACCCATTTCTTGCATTTCTATAATTTGAATTAACTCTCTGCAACATTCACAATTCAATTGCTCATAATACATCACAGGCTCCCTGGGACAGTCTATGTTCTAAAAGGAACTTTGCAATTTCACTCCCTGGTAAGAACTGCAGAAAAATACCCCCACCCTCCCAAAAGAATATTAATTTTATAGTCACTAGGAAAGTTAAAAACTTCAGAACCTTGAATAGGTTCTGTATCTTCAAGCCAGATACTACATCATTCATACTTGCAGAGAACTGCATTGTTATATTGCCTGAGAATGATTTTGGAAGGTACTTCCATGAAGTTTGAAAAAACATTTTAAATAATTATTATTTTCTAAGGAGGTAAAAGAGTAAAAATCAATCTTTCAATACTCATATCACAAACCAAGGAAATCCTAGTGAAGGGAAATATTTAAGTGTGAACTTAATTCCAAACTATTTACCCAGTGTATCAGAAGTCCCCAGATAACAACAAATTTGTGTCAATATGCAAGGCAGCATTTGAAGGAAAGGTGTTTGAGCCACCCATGGACTTTCGAAATTTTTTTTTATTTCCTTTTGTGATTTTAATTATTTTTTTTTTAATAAGCCACGATAAAGATGAACTTTGAAGCTCATTTGGACACAGCAGTGATTTCCTAGCTAGAATGATTTGACATTTAAATTCTACCCTAACTCAAAAGCCACGGATACTCAAATTTGCCTGATACACTGGGAAAGGATCTTCCAAGAGGCTTTAGAGAAATGTATACATTTCAAAACAAGATCTAAAGAAAAGCACTTTACCAATTTTTTGTAGAGTATTATCATAAAAAGCACACACACACACTTATCCCCTTGAGAGTGTCTGTCTGTAGCAAACATCACCCAACATTTCCAAGACTGGGCCCCCAATCAAGTGCCCAGGAATCTTCAGACTTTTATTGCTACTCTTGTTCTTATTAATGCAGAAGTCTAAACACAAAATATTGCCACCATACCTGCTTTTCCAATTGAACAAACAGATCTCAACATCATCCATTGACTTCTGATGCAGGCAGCATGTCCAATGTATCACAACATACTAGTGGATTTTTTTTTCTATTTATGTCTTATGTTACATGCTGTAATGGGACATATGAACAGTTTAAATCAAATTATGAAAATTCAGGCACTCTAAAACCAAAATCAACAGGTAGGAACATGATAAAAAGCCTGCAAGGAAGAACTGGAGCTATATCAGCTGACTGTCATTTAAAAATAACATTCATCATCTTCACAAATGGAACTTTTCAGCAGAGAAACAAGGCAGCCAGCTTCCTGACTTGATGAACATTACAGCTGATTTAGAAAACTGTCAAAAACTCTCATAGAGCATTCAAAATCAGGTTATTGGACTTGTTAAACATGTTTTGTAAGTTACCAATGTGCCATAGATTAACATGGGTAAACCAGACTTCATTGGAGCTTTTACAGTTGTTATGTAAAAGCTGGGGAAAAGACACTTGATATGCTCTTATGTCTGGTGAGGGAAATAAGGACTGAAAGGTGGTTAAGAAGTGATATGGCTGCAGCCATCTATACAAAGACAGCTTTGGCAGGATAGTTCTTTTATGCAGCGAACAAAGCTATAAAATGATTCAGAGCTTGCGAGCTGATGCAAGTCAGACCTGGGTCAGAAATCAAACGCTACCATAAACAAACCCAACCTAACAGAGGTGTAGGTAAACAGCAGGATTAGCCTCGTCATTCCAAGCATCCCTGCATGTTGGGCAGAGAATCTCTGTTCAAGACCCTAGCAGACGCATTCACCCCGTTGGGCAGACAGAAGTCCCAGCAGTTCGGACACATGTTTGTGAACCTCCCTCTTAGGGCAGCAGGCTTTCTTACAAACCCAACAAAAGGTCACTACCTTTAATTTGAGGGGCTTATGAACTATGCACAGATGCAACATCAGGACATTCCTGATTAAGCCTCTTTGATAAGTGGAGGAAGAGCTTTTGTTGACCTGAAGTGACATGAATTGACAAGTTACCTAGGTTGAGGACTGTGTACAAACTACAAGACCAGTCCCTAGCAACGATAATTTGTCATTCTTGCATCATTTTTGATCCTTGAGCTCAGGAACCAGATCTTGGTCAAGCCTCACTCAAACCTCATCAGAAATTACTTCTTTTTGTGTGTCTAGAATGTACAGAAAGTTTGTCATATATAGAAAGTGGCCTTCCTCCTTGCCCAGTACTTGCCTTAAGGCTCTTACTCAGTGAAATGGAGAACAACTTAGTCCTTGCCAAAATATTAAAATACAAGCTGTCACCATTAGTACTAGTCCAGACAGAAGGAATGAATTAAGCATAGGCACCTGAGTAGAAAGAAGATGGACATTTTATGCCTTGCCTTAGAGAAGAAAACTTATGTCCTTTTGATCATGGTGTCTCAGCATCTCTAGATAACTATTCACACTCCCTAGGACATGGCCACACATTGAAAATGGACTGCGAACACATACCAGAGAAAGCATGAGAACCAGGAAGAGAGGGACACCACGAGGAAAGTGATCCCCAGCAATCCTTGCACATCACAACTCTGTTAGAACATCTGATTATCTCCATAGGTATATACATATCTATAAGCAATTCCACATCCTTGTTCTCAGAGTTGTTTCATCTTTCTTTTGGGAAAAAAAGAAGCTTATTTTCCTTAAAACACTACAACAAAACCCTGGTAGTGAGTGGAGAGGACGATGGAGTTAAAGGTCTGTAAGTCTGGCTGTCAGTGTAGCATATAAGCAGTAAAACCCAGAAATAGCAATCAAGGGAACATACAGCATTGCTTCGAAAGCAAACAAACAGATCAAATACACAAAGCACAGCCCAAAAAGCAGTGGACAACAAGTTTCTGTACCCATCTGCTCTTAAAAAAGAAAGCGAACAAGCTACAGCACGCACTTGTGATTACTCTTCCACCCGAGTTCCTTCCTTTGAAGATGCATGCTTCTGTGATCTTGAGAACATCTGTAGAAAGCTGGGGTTAAATAACAAGAATTTTGAACAGCAGCAGCACTTGACAGAAGGGAACCCTTCTCTCGCTTCAAACTCTGAGATCTCGAGTTGAAGAGGTCCTGGAACTGACGAGGTTGCCAACGAACACCACGTTCAGGAGCAGGCAGGACTGTAGCAGGAACAGCACTGAGACTGCAGTAATTTTGCTGAGGTTAGTACCAGGGCACCCCAGCTTTCTTGCATCAATTTGGAAAGGCAAAACTCGGGGAAAATCTGGGTATTACACACGTCAGAGAAGCAGGCACCACTAGCAATGTTTTATTGATGAATAACAGTTAGAAGAAGAATGATCTTATTTATTCACATAAATCCCCAATGTCACTATCTAGAAAATAAAAGTAATCTTCAGATTATATTCCCATGCACAAGAAGGTTTTATTTTATTTGAATACAGAATGAAGTTAGCAGTTCAATA